CTGGTCGGAGCATGTGCAGGAGGCAACCAATCGATGTCTCTTCTCTCTTTCTTCCTCTCTCTCTCTTTTTCTCTTCCTCCCTCCCTCCTTTCACTCTAAAAAAATAAATCAATGGGAAAAAATATCCTTGGGTAAGGATTAACAAACAAATAAGAAGATGCCTTTCTTCCTCCTTGCTGTAGGAGTCAATAAAGGCTGAGTAGAGAACCTGAGTTTCTATTCCCAACTGGCAGTAAGCCACTGAGGTGGCTATCCCTTCCTCTGTCACAGAAGTCTTCCGAAAACAAGATTTAAATAAGATCCAGCAACTCGTAACATAATACCCAAAATGTCCAGATTTCAATTAAAAAAAATCACTCATCACAAAGAACCAGGAAAATTTTAACTGAAATGAAAAAAGACGACACCCTCCCTGAGAAAACACAGATCAATATATATAAAAGGCTAATATGCATAGTGTCCCCTCCGGAGTTCAACTGGGAGACCAGGAGTTCAATTGCTTGCTATGATGTGTGCTGACCACCAAGGGGCGGTACGGAATGAAGGAAGGCCCCAGCTGGCAGCTGGCAGTCCCCGATCGGACCTGATGGCTGGCAAGGCATAGGGACCCTACCCGTGCATGAATCTCATGCACTGGGCCTCTAGTGTTAGCATAATTTGACAAAGTTTTGAAGCAGCCATCACAGAAAGGCTTCAATGACTAATTATAGAGCTGCTTGAAACAAATGAAAAAATTATCCCAGTAGAGCAATAGAAGTTATAAAAAAGAACCAAATAGAAATCTTAGAACTGGAAAACATAATAACTGAAACTTTTGAAAAATGCAATTGGAAATGGGATGACAGAAGAATGAAATCAGTGAGCTTGAAAAAAGAACAGAATTACTTAGTCTGAATAGGAGAAAGAAAATAAACTAAAACAAGAGAACAGTTTAGGGACATATGGGACTATAACAAAAGATCTAACGTTTATGTCATTTAATACTGGAAGGAGAGGAAAAAGAGGGCAGAGCTGAAAAAAAAAAACAACACCTCAAAGAAAAAGCAGCTGTAAAATAGAAATAATAGCTGAAATTTCCCCAAATTAGATGAAAGACATAAACCTGCAGCTTCAAGAAGTTTAACAAACCCCAAACAGTATAAACACAAAGCAGTCTATGCCAAGACACATCATACCCAAACTTCTTAAAACTAAAGGCAAGGAAATGAAAGCATTCAAAGAGAAATGACATTGCTTATAGGGAAAAGCAATATAAATGACAGTGGATTTCTCATCAGAAGACATGTAGGCCAGAAAGAGAAAAATTGCCAGCATAGAATTTTATATCCAATGAAACTTTCTTTTTTTTCTTCTTTCTTTTTTTTTTTCTTTTTTTTTTTTTTGGTAAAAAATTTATTGACTGCAGCAAAAATATACTTAGGACAGTGAAATAAGGAAGGGAATAGAAGAAGCAATAGGAGGGTCTAGGCTGGGATGCTTTGGCTCACTAGGAACAGGGCATTGGAGACAGGTTCGGGGTTAGCCCGAGTCAAGCTACCACTGCCCATTGCTCTCTTGGTTGCACATTTCGTGGGGTCCCCTGGAGTTTAGGAGATATGTGCTTTCAAGAAACAACCTCCAGAAAGCACAAGACATTCATCAGCTCCAAATCCACTTTACAGACTTTGGTTGGTGCAATCCGAGTCGCAGCACCAAAGAGATGTTACTGGTGAGACAAGGAGACCTCAGTTCTTGTCTTCTTGAGGGAAAGATTTCAGTTGAGACAGAGTGTGAAAAATACAAGTATTTATAGACCACAGGAAAAAAATATACTTTGGAAAGTGAAATAAGGAAGGGCATAGAAGAAGCAACTGGAGAGGCTAGGCTGTTCTCCTTTGGTTCACTGGGAAGTCAGGGAAAAGGGCGTTGGAACAGGTTCAGGGGGTTAGCCTGGGACAAGCTGCTGCTGCCCATTGCTCCCCTGGTTGCAAGTCTCATAGGGTCCCCTTAGAGGCTAGGGGATACGTGCCTGTGGGGGAAGGAGAGGGAGAAGGGAATGGCATGGGCGTGCTCCCTGGAGGGAGAGTGCCCAGTGAAACTTTCTTTATGACATTCTCAGATGAAGGGAAAGGAAGGGAATTTATCATTAGAATCTCCTAAAATAATGTTTAAAGGAATTTCTTGAAACAGAAAGGAAATGATAAAAGATGGAATCTTGAAACATCAGGAAGGAAAAAAGGAAGGAATGGGGGGAGCCGCATGTGCCCAGACTGGAGGCCTGGGATTGAACCTGCATGTCCTTGACTGAGAATCCAACCTGAAACCCTTCGGTGTGCAGGCCAACGCTCTAACCATTGGAAAACACCAGCCAGGGCAAGCTATTTTTTAACATCTATTAACTTCCCGTTATAGATTAGGATTTAGCTATCATTCACTTTCCCCATCACCAATAACACAAGGCTTATTTATATTTTCCCACTGTAGTTAGATTAATAGTCTATTTTTTTAGTAGGATGGTAAAAACACTGTATTTAAGATATGATTGCATTTCCACTCTTCTACAACTTTTTGTTTTCTCCAGAATTAATAATTGTCTTGTATTGTTCACTTGCTTAGTTTTCTGTATATCTGTGATTAATAGATATATCTATACTAGTGACCGGTGCACGAAATTCGTGCACATTAAAAGGGACTTAATTAGAGGAAGTATTTTAATATTGTTATTTGCCCTTTCTCTATAATAGAAATGTCGGAGATGAAAGAAAATTAGTAAAATGTATATAAAAATCTTCCTCCTAAAAATCTTCTCTGTCAAGTCCAGAAACCAGAGTCAAGTCCCCCCCCCCACCCACGTGCACCTCAAAATTGTGGGAGACCCAGACCCGGCGAGCCCACCCCCATTGGGCTAGATCCAGACCCGGCCCGCCCCACCCCCGTCAAGCCCCACCGGGTGGGGGGCATGGCCTCAGGTCACCTGGCCTGGCGCCGGGATGGGAGGGCGTGGCCTGAGGTCCCTGTCAAGCCCCACCAGGCAGGGGGCACAGCCTTAGGTCCCCCGGCCTGGGGCGGGGTGCGCGGCCTGAGGTCCCCCAGGTGGGGGGCGCACCTTAGGTTCCCCGTCAAGCCCTATGGGCAAGGGGCGTGGCCTCAGTTCCCCCGTCAAGCCTGGCATGGTGGGTGGCGCAGCCTCAGATTCCCCGGCCTGGCGGGCGCGGCCTCAGGTCCTCCAGCCTGGCGCTGGGGCGGGAGGTATGGCCTGAGGTCCCCCATCAAGTCCTGCTGGGCAGGGGACGCAGCCTGAGGTCCCCTGTCAAGCCCTGCCAGGCGGGAGGCGTGGCCTGAGGTCCCCTTCAAGCCCCACCAGGAGGGGTGCACAGCCTCAGGTCCCCCGGCCTGGCGGGGGGTGCGGCCTCAGGTCCTCCAGCCCGGCGCTGGGGGGTGAGGGGGTACGGCCTGAGGTCCACCGTCAAGCTCCACTGGGGGGGGGGTGGACGGGACCTGAGGTCCCCTGTTAAGCCCTGCCGGGCGGTGGACATGGCCTGAGGTCTCCGGCAAGCCCTGCCGGCAGGGGACACAGCATAAGGTCCCCTGTCAAGCCCTGCCGGGTAGGGGTGCAGCCTCAGGTCCCCTGCCCCAGCCCAGCGCCATGCAACCTCAGGTCCCTGCTGATTGCTTGTTAAGGCTCGTTATAGGAACTCGGCCTACACTTTGGGTGCAGCCATCTTGTGTTATGGAATCCCTGCCTTGCTGTGGGCGCAGCCATCTTGACTGTTACAGCATGACGGTCAATTTGCATATCTTCTCTTTATTAGATAAAATATCCCTGAGTTGCAAATATCTTTCTGTTCATTTGGAATTTCAGTTTTCCCATTATCCTAATTTAAAGAGGGGGTAAGCATAGGTTAAATTTTAGAGTCTTGGTATAAAGACATTTCTTAATGTTAGAAACTCCTTGTAAAACTGGAGTGAATATAAATGATCTTTGTTACTTTTTCTATTTACACACAAACCCTGTCTAGATGAATGGATATTTTTAATTTCAACTCATAGCAAAGGAAATCTATAGATATTTGTGAACATCTATATTTTGATAGCTGAGAAAATTCATAGATATTTATGATCTCATCAATCCCAAACATTGGTCTCACAGGGAAGTGAGGAGAGCTGTTGAATACAGGCAAAAATACTAGTTCTGACTAGTTGCTTAATTGATCTTCACAATCTAGGATGATCAGGTGACTTCATTCCCCTCAGTTTTCTTTGTAATAATGACAGGATCAGACTGGATTATAAAGGTGGCTTCTAGTTCAAGTGTCATTTCAAGTAGATAAATAATTTACTTTAATCTTGACTATATCTCTAAATTAAAGGTATTGTTATCTTCAGTACTTTTAAAGAAGTATCCTGGTATTTAGAGTGAAATTGTGTCAAAAGGCCTAAAGTAATTTCTAAAAGTTATTAGAGATGGCAAATTATAAAAGATAACAATAGGCCATGATTGTCATCTTTGTTGTACTTTAAATTATGACATGGAAATTATGGTTTTAACTTCCCAAGGGTACCTGAAAAAGGAAAATTCTAAGGTCATCAAAAACTTCACTGTTTACTATCTAATAGGTTAGATTTGACACATATAATATGCTCTTAAATAATGAGTGTGACTTTTATGATGGTTTTAAATTCTACACTATTGAAGCTAGATGGGTCCTTGAGGGTTTCTGAGAGAGTTCTTGATGGTCAATCAGTTTCTTATTGACGTAACCAGGGGCAGAATGTACTGTTTTTTTATTTGTGTTTTATTTGATTGTGAATTTTGATATGAGAGATATTTGATATTTGGGATATTAGTTTTCAGAGGGCATTATGGTGAATTACATACATTTTGAAAATGAATTTATAAGTTCACCTTTGTGCATTTGTTGGTACTAATAATGTGCCTTATTGTGAGATCCTCTGAAAAGCAGGTATATAATTTAAGTTCTTAACAAACATCACTGATAACATATTTCATTGGTTTTCAGGTACTTGAAGAAGCAGAAGCCCAACATTTATATCAGTCCATTTTGCCCGATATGGTGAAAATTGCACTCTGTCTGCCAAATATTTGCACCCAGGTTAGTGGAAATAACGTCTTTCCTAGTAGCTTTCTTGTGACTCACAATTAAACTCTAATGGCCAAAGTCAAAGAGGCAGAAGAGAAAGATGGGAAATAGTTTTTGCCAAAGAGTATGATGCTTTTGCTAGAAAAGGTTAGAGGCTAAGGAGAATGCTACAAAAGGACATTAAAAATGCAGCATTCAATTTCTGAGCTTCAGTTTACACTGTTGAAGTTTGCTTACTCTTACTTCTATTTACCTTTTTCTTTAAATTGTCTCTAACTTAAAAAAACACACAACAACAACCCAGTAGTTATTATTTCAAAACATACTAATGGATTTAGAACATTTTATCTTCCAAATGGCTTACTCCTCACTCATTTCTCCCCCACCCCAAAGTGGCATGTTGCATAACAAATGAGCCATGGTATTTTCTTAACTTTTAAAAATAGAAGAAATAATCTGGTAATATTCTATTTTGTCTGGAGTTTTTTACTAGTAATTGTTTATTGCTATGTAACAAATTGCTTTAAAATTTAGTGCCTTATGGGGCTGCCTCTCCATAAGCTGATTGGGTGTCCTCATGACATGGTTGCTAACTTCCCCAGAACAAGCTACTCAAGGGAGAGTGCAAGGAAGTGTCAGTGCCTTTTATGACTTAGTTTTTTAAAGGCACCTAATACCACTTCTGCTACTTTTCTATTCAGTAGAAATTAGTTGCTAAATCCAGCCCACACTCAAGGAGATGGTAATTAAACTCTACTTCTTTAAAGAAGGATTTGTCAAAGAATTTGCAAACATATTTTCAAACCTTCACAAGAGGTTGTTGGTTAGTTTTCATGATTTTCTCCCCATATTTCCCCAGCAGTGGTTTGCATTTGCCTTTGTCTTTTACTCCTAGGGCTAGCCCCCTTTCTGCCTGGATGCTGAACACTGTTGCTCCACAGAGGCCCTGGGGACATTTTGGGTGAAACAGTTTCTGAATGTATAGGATGGTCTCACACATTTCATTCTGTCATTGGGGTACCCCAAAAACTATAAGTATAGTCATTGGGACACAAAATACAACAACCCAAAACACAAATATGTCCAGATGCCTGTGAGCCATGCTGCCACCTTCAGTTGAGATCCATTGAATGTGCTGTATTTGTTAGCATTTCACTGTGATATTTCCAATTTTATGTAACTTTAATTTTACCTCATTAATGCATTGTGTCTAAAATAAGTTTTTCTATTGGGCAGGATAAATATATTGTAAAACTCATCTGGTTGTTTATATTGGAAGTTTTGGGCATACCTTGGAGATATTACGTTTGGTTACAGACCACTGCAATAAAACAAATCCTATATAATAAATGGTAATATGCAAATCGACCTAACGGCAGAACAACCGGTTGCTATGACATGCATTGACCACCAGGGGGCAGACGTTCAACGCAGGAGCTGCCCCCTGGTGGTCAGTGCGCTCTCACACTGCTCAGCCACAAGCTGGGCTGATGGCTGGCAAGCGCAGCAGCAGGAGCTTCTCCTGCCTCCGTGGCAGCGCTAAGGATTTCTGACAGACGGCTTAGGCCCTGCTCCGTGGGCTAAAACCATCTGTAAGCCATCTGTCGGAACATCCCCCGAGGGCTCCCAGACTGCTAAAGGGCCTCTAGTATCGCAATAAAGTGAGTCACATGAACTTTTTGGATTTCTAGTGCATATAAAAGTTATGTTTACACTATATTGTAGTCTATTAAATGTGCAATAGTAGTATGTCTAAGGAAACAATGTGCATACCTTATTTATAAAATACTTTATTGCTAAAAAATGCTAACCATTATATGAGTCTATTGGAAAAATGGTACCAATAGACTTGCTGGACACAGGGTTTCCACAAACCTTCAATTTATAAAAAACAAGGTATCTGTAAAGTTCAATAAAGCAAAACTCAATAAAACAAGGTATGCCTGTATTTGCTTGCTTATGTTTCATGTTTACTCTTTTTTCTTTCCCTCCTTGCTTTTTTCTTTACCTAGTAAAATTTCACTACCTCTACGCTCTAGTTTTTACTTCCCCTGCAAAACCTTCTCTACCTCTCCCAGCCAAATCCAATCCCTCTGTAGCACGCAAATCATATTTATAGCACATGCGTTTGTAATTTATGTTCTTCCATGGAGATGTTCTTGGTGTCCCCAAGTTTAACATGGTGCTTAATTAGATGTGGTTTTATTTTATTTATTTTTTATTGTTTTAATTTTTAAATTTTATTATTATTTTTGTTAATTCTCACCCAAGGGCATTTTTTTTTATTGATTTTTAGAGAGAGTGGAAGGGAGAGAGGGAGGGAAGAGATAGAGAGAGAAACATTGATGTGAGAGAGACACATTAATTGGTTGCCTCCTGCATACACCCCAACTGGGGCGGCCATCGAAGCAGTAATCCAAATATGTGCCCTTAACCAGGAATCAAACCTGAGACCCTTCTGTGTGCTGGCCAACACTCTAACCAACTAGTCATACCAGCCAGGACTATTTTTTATTTTTTAATTACAGATTACATTCAGTATTATTTTGATTTAGTTTCTAGTGTACAACTTTGTTGTTAGACAATCATATACTTTACAAAGTGTTGCCCTCCCCCCGATATTTCCAGTACCCACTTGGCCCCATACATAGTTATTACAGTATTATTGTCTATATTCCCTATGCTGTACTTTACATTATCGTGACTATTTTGTTTTGTTTTTTTTGTTTGTTTTTTTAAATATATTTTATTGATTTTTTACAGAGAGGAAGGAGAGAGATAGAGAGTTAGAAACATCGATGAGAGAGAAACATCGATTCCTGCCTCCTGCACACCCCCTACTGGGGATGTGCCCGCAACCCAGGTACATGCCCTTGACCGGAATCGAACCTGGGATCTTTCAGTCCGCAGGCTGACGCTCTATCCACTGAGCCAAACCGGTTTCGGCACCGTGACTATTTTGTAACTACCAAGTTGTACTTGTTAATCCCTTCACCTTTTTCACCCAGTTCCCCAAACCTCCTCCCGATTGGCAACCATCAGTCTGTTCTCTGTATCTATGAGTCTGTTTTGTTTTGTTTGTTCTTTTATATTGTTCTTTAGATTCCACATAATTAAATGCTTTTTGAATTCAATGTTTCGTTCATAATTGACAGTATATAGCCTTTAGACATAAATCACTTAAACTTCTCTTCCCCTCATGCTTCAGGAGAGATCGTTTTCATATTTTTATATGCCTTTGAATATATATATTCAAATATATATAAGCTATTACAAATCACTTGGTAGACCAAAACCAGACTTGTGGTTCCCAACTTTTGTCCTGATTTAAAATAACTGTGTTAATGGGGAGAACACTTCAATTCTGTGCCCTGTCTACTGAAATGTAAATCTCTGCGGTAAAAGTTAACATATTAAGTTGCATATGTTGTTATTTAATTATTTATATCACATTAACATTCTCTGGACCAAATCTAAATGGTACATTATATTTATAAAAAGAAAATTAAAAGAAACAAATTTTAGACATGCACTTTGGGAAAGATCTTTATGTTAATCAGTCTCTTACTTAGCTGAGAGCTTGACAGTAAGACTTACATCCTCTGGTTTTCCCCAAATGAGCTTTCAGGCATTTCTCCTCACCAAAAGAGCAGAAACCATCTATTCTATTTAAAATTATACTGTTTGGTTACTAGGAGAACAAGAAATGGTTGTGTTTGTTAAGCCTAAAATATTACCATTAATTTTTAAAATAGTATTTGTGAATAACTTCTTAAATGGTAGTTAAAATCTAATTTTTTACTAAAAACAAGTACCAGTTTGCTTTAAACCATTGACACATTGTTACCTTTTCTAAACTTATTGCTGGATTGTAAATAAATGTATAGGCTGGGAAATGGAGATCAATATGCGCTATTTCCTCTTTCTTAGATATAGTGATTGCTAAGGCCTAAAAGGAGAGAGAATATTGGATACTGAAGTGAAAATAAATTCTTTATGTTTCTCTTGTTTATTTTTTGTGTTTTTTCTTAAGAAATAGTTGAGCTACAAGTGTAACCTTTTCTTTTTCTAGCAAACTCTTATTCTAGCAATGATAGGTATTTTCTGTAAAGTTAATTCTTAGAGTATTGCAGTTTTGTCTTGCCTGACTTTCCTCAGTATCATTTCTGATGTTTATTATGAGACGTGATAAATAGTTTTCCGTGCATACTGGTTTGTGGTTAATGCAGGCATCCAGGATTCTTAGTTCTGGCTCTGACTGAACGGAGAAGGAAAAGCATCCCCTGGAATATTTTGAATTTAACAATTGATACGTAAAAGAGATGTTGGCAATTGGTCTTTGGTTTTACCATTATGTCTTTAAACACATCGTTTAAATATTTAGAATAGAATAAATCCTATTGGATACAATAATCAGGTCCCGTATATTATACTGGAATTAAAAGGTCAATAAATTTGAGTTTGGTACAACTAGAAGGCATTTCAGACATCAAAATTTTGAAGGTAAAATGTCCTGTTTCTTCCTTGATTTGGAATGATTAGATAAATGTCTATCTTCTTACAAGTTATATGTAAGTTTGTATACATATAGTCTATTAATTGCTATCATAAAATTAGATTTGAGCCTTATAAAGATTGTCAATGTGAAGTGTGATTCAGAATTAGAAGGAAAAGACTTACTTATTGAATTATTTTTTTCGATTATTTTATTTTGGACTAAAAGAGAAAAATTGCTTTGTCCAGCAATCTTTAATATAAATGAGAACAAAATTTTGCATCTGCATTAATAGTTAAAGTCAAAATTGCATTTTTCTGTTTCATCGTTTTTTAAAATTTTTTTTTGTTAATCCTCACCCGAGGATATTCTGCCATTGTATTTTTTTTATTATTCATTTTTTTAACATGTTTTTATTGATTTTTAGAGAGAGAGGAAGGGAGAGGGATAGAGAGATAGAAATATTGATGAGAGAGGAACATCATCAATTGGCTGCCTCCTGCACGCTCACTACTGGGAATCGAACCGGCAACCTCTTGGTTCCTGGGTCGAGGCTCAACTGTTGAGCCACACCAGCTGGACCATTAATTTTTAGAGAATGGAACATTGATGTGAGAGTGACACATCAATTCGTTGCTTCCCACACATGTCCTGACCAGGGCTGGGATCCAGCCTGTAATTGAAGTACGTGCTCTTGACCGTGCCCTTATCCAGAATCGAACCTGGGACCCTTTATGGGCCAATGCTCTATCCACTGAGCCAAACCGGCGAGGGCTGTTTTAATTTTTTATTACATGGTCAGTGTGTTTTTATTTCTTGCCAAAGCAATCTTGTTTTTCACTAATAAGTAATGACTTTTGTGTTCTCTTCACTATTATTATTATTGATTAAAAATCTCCAGTCAAGCCGAAACCGGTTTGGCTCAGTGGATAGAGCATCGGCCTGCGGACTGAAAGGTCCCAGGTTCGATTCCGGTCAAGGGCATGTACCTGGGTTGCGGGCACATCCCCAGTGGGAGATGTGCAGGAGGCAGCTGGTCGATGTTTCTCTCTCATCGATGTTTCTAACTCTCTATCTCTCTCCCTCCCCTCTCTGTAAAAAATCAATAAAATATATTTAAAAAAAAAAAAAATCTCCAGTCAAACAAGTATATATTTCTAATGGTATTACTGTTGATTTAAGAATTCAAGAATGGCCTGTAATTTTTCCTACCTTAATTTAGTAAATGTCATTTGGTGCCTCTGCTTTTGAAATTGCTAAGCTAATTATTGCACTTCTTGTCTGTATTTTTTGTTTCCTCAATCAGCCAATACCACTCCTGAAACAGAAGATGAATCATTCCATCACAATGTCGCAGGAACAGATTGCCAGTCTTTTAGCTAATGCGTTCTTCTGCACATTTCCACGTCGAAATGCGAAGATGAAATCGGAGTATTCCAGTTACCCAGACATTAACTTCAATCGGTATGTTTTCAGAGAACATCTCTTTAACAATGAAATAGAGAAGGATGGAGAGAACCAATAGTATTTATGGATTTGCCTCAGGCCAAACATTTTCTGTATACTTACTTAACTTATTGCTTACAATAAAGTGAGTTGAGTGATATTTTTGCCATTTTGCAAACAATGTAAGTAAAGTTTCTAGAACTTGATTAGGGTCCAGGAGCCAAGAAGTCACAGAGCTGAGGCTTGATCTCAGATGGTCTTACTCCATGGTCCATGTTATTTACAGCCTGTCAGATTGTCCTCCTCCTCTTTGAGTGCCTGAACTCTATGCCTCTTCAGTGTGATAGTCATAGGGACATTCATTGTACATTGTATCCTTTGTGTGCTTAAAAATGGTAGAGCTGGAGTGCAAAGTCCTCCTTTTTGTGAAGTCTGAGTTTAAAGACATGAGGCTGATTATCTTGTGAAACTTAAAAAACATGAAAAGCAAAAGTGAAAATTGACTTCGTATAGACATGATTATTTTATCAGTGGAATAGTTTTAAAAAGGAAGACAAAAGAATGTTTATATAATTTGACTAAATAATACATTGTGAAGGTATTGATAGTTTTAAATTCTAACCATTTTCCCAAATGATTACTGTTTCCATCATCTATACAAAAAAAACAAAAACATTTTGCCTGGCCAGAGTGGCTCAGTGGTTGAGCATTGACCTATGAACCAATTACTGGTCAGGGTACATGCCCAGGTTGCTGACTTGATCCTGTGGGGGTGTGCAGGAGGCAGCTGATCAATGATTCTCTCATCAATGGTTTTTTTTCCTCTCTCTCTCTCTCTCTCTCTCTCTCTCCCTCTCTCTCTAAAATCAATAAAAACATATCCTTGGGTAAGGATTTAAAAAAAAATGCAGTTTTCCCTAAATGGTTTGGCTCAGTGGATAGAGCATCAGCCTGTGGACTGAAGGGTCCCAGGTTCGGTTCCAGTCAAGGGCATGTACCTTGGTTGCAGGCACATCCCCAGTAGGGGGTGTGCAGGAGGCAGCTGATCGATGCTTCTCTCTCATCGATGTTTCTAACTCTCTATCCCTCTTCCCTTCCTCTCTGTAAAAAATCAATAAAATATATATTTTTAAAAAATGCAGCTTGATGCAACATTTAAAAATACCACTGGGTGTTGAGATAAAAACATTTAACACTTTTGCTTTTTTTCTGTTTTTCAAACTGTTTTTAATGTACATATATACATATATATATTTAAATTTTTGTTGTTGAGATTATTATAGATGTCTCCCTTTTTTTGCCCCTCATTGCTTCCCTCTATCTGGTTCCCACCCCGCCCTAGGCCTTCACCACCCTACTTTCTGTGTCCATAGGTAAGATCTTTGGTTAATCTCTTCCAACCTCCCAACCCCTTCCCTCTGAGATTCGTCAGTCTGTTCCATGTTTCCATGTCTCTGATACTATTTCATTCACCAGTTTATTTTGTTCCTTAGATTTCTTGTTTGTTTATTTTGATTTTTAGATTCAGTTGTTGATAGATATGTATTTATTACCATTTTCTTGCATATTTTTTATCTTTTTTTCCCTTCTTCTTTGTCTTCTTAAAGAATACCCTTCAACATTTCATGTAATATTGGTTTGGTGGTGACGAACTCCTTTAGCTTTTTCTTATTTGTGAAACTCTTTATCTGACCTTCAATTCTAAATGATAGCTTTGCTGGGTAGAGTAATCTTGGTTGTAGGTCCTTGCTATTCATCACTTTGAATATTTCTTGACACTGCCTTCTGGCCTGCAAAGTTTCTGTTGAGAAATCAGCTGACAGTCATATGGGCACTCCCTTATAGGTAACTAATGGCTTTTCTCTTGCTGCTTATAAGATTCTCTCTTTGTCTTTAATCTTTGGCATTTTAATTATGATGTGTCTTGGTGTGGGCCTCTTTGGGTTCCTCTTGTTAGGGACTCTCTGTGCTTCCTGGACTTGTAAGTCTATCTCTTTCACCAGGTAGGGGAAGTTTTTGTCATTATTAATTCAAATAGGTTTTCTATATCTTGCTCTCTCTCTTCTCCTTCTGGCACTCCCAAAATGTGAGTGTTGGTATGTTTGAAGTTGTCTCAGAGGCTTTTTAAACTATCTTCATACTTTTTGCTCTTCTGATTGGGTATTTTTTGCTTCCTCATATTACAAATTGTTGATTTGATTCGCAGAACCCTTTACTGTTGAATCCCTGTATATTATTCTTTTTTAAAAAATATTACATGCAATAAACATTAATATTTCAAGAGTAAAAGGATTTTAAGTATAATATTACCAAAACTATACTAATATAGTATGATATCACAAAGGTTGTAGGAAATATTAAAAATCTGCAAATAACAAAATTACTTCTATTATCTACACTAATAAAAGAGAAACATGGTAATTAGCATACGACTGCTACCCTTTTCATTGGCTAATCAGTGAGTATATGCAAATTAACTGTCAGCCAAGATGGCGGCGGCAGCCAGGCACTGAAGCGAGCATGAGGCTTGCTTGCTACGGACTCCAACGTTCCCGCCTCACTTGCCGGCCGGGCTCTCAGCTGCAACTCTAAGCAACTATGTACTATGTTGCAAATAAGAAGCTAAACAAAACCCTAGAAACCAGCCGGACTGAAAAGACAGCCGGCCATGTTTTCAGCAGCGAGGCCTCAGAGCTAAAGCTGGCCCAGAATAAAAAAAAAAAAAAAGAAAACAAGGAGGGGTTGGGAGCTTTTAGTCAACTGCCAGCGGGAAAACAGCCCTCAGCCCCTCAGCCAGCCTGGGCAGGACCCCAGTGGGGACCCCCCACCCTGATCCAGGACACCCTTCAGGGCAAACCAGCCGGCCCCTACCCGTGCACCAGGCCTCTATTCTATATAGTAAAAGGGTAATATCCTCCCGGCACCGGGATCAGCGTGACAGCGAGGCTCCCGGCACCGGGATCAGCGTGACAGGGGGCAGCGCCCAAACCCCCCTGATCAGCCCTGCTCTGTGCCTGATAGGGGGGAGCTCCCCAATCCCCCCGATTGCCCTGCAGCTCTGTGTGTGACAGGGTGCAGCGCACCAACCCCCCTGATCGGCCCCTGCTCTGTGTGTGACAGGGCTGCGGCGCCCCAACCCCCCGCCCCCGGCCCCACGGGCCCTGCTCTGTGTGTGACAGGGTAGAACCATAACCTCTCCATCGGCCCTGCCCTGAGTGTGACAGGTGGCGGCGCCCCAACCCCCTGATCGGCCCTGCTCTGTGTTTGACAGGGTGCGGCGCCCCAACCCCCCGCCCCCCCCCCCACGAGCCCTGTGTGTGACAGGGTAGAACCATAACCTCTCCATCGGCCCTGCCCCTGAGTGTGACAGTGGGCGGCGCCCCAACCCCCTGATCGCCCTGCTCTGTGGGTGATAGAGGGTGGCGCCCCAACCCCCCTCCCCGGGCCTTTCTCTGTGTATGACAGGGTAGAGCCATAACCTCCCCATTGGCCCTGCCCTGAGTGTGACAGGGTGCAGCACCCCAACCCCCTGATCCGCCCTGCTCTGTGTGTGACAGGGGGCGGTGCCCCAACTCCCCTATCGGCCCTATTCTGTGAGTGACAGGGGGGAGCTCCTCAACCCCCTGATTGACCCTGCTCTGTGTGTGACAGGGTACGGAGCCCCAACCCCCCTGATGGGCCCTGCTCTGTGAGTGACAGGGGGCAGCTCCCCAACCCCCTGATCGGCCCTGCTCTGTGAGTGACAGGGGGGGGGGGCGGAACCTCCCCATGGAACCTGCCTTGGGGGTGAACAGGGGGGGGGGCCCAACCCCTCAATCGGCCCT